TTACGTTCAACGGAACTTACAAATGGATCGACTCGTTACCGCGCCTCGTCGTTGAATACAACACGCGAAAACATCGAACTATCGGCATGCGTCCTATCGATGTGACTCCTATGATTGCTAATAAGCTCTTAAACACAGTCTATAGTAACATAAAGATTGCAGCGCCTGCGAAATTCAAAGTGGGTGATCTGGTACGCGTCAGTAAACTCAAAACTATCTTTGAAAAAGGCTATACACCGAATTGGACAACCGAAGTGTTTAAAATCGTCAAAGTACAGACAACTAATCCTGCAACTTACCTACTCGCAGACTCGCGCGGGAAATCTATCGCCGGGGGTTTCTACGAACACGAACTACATAGTGTCATCAATCCAGATGTACACTTAGTAGAAAAGGTGTTGCGCAGGCAAGGCGACAAAGTATATGTAAAATGGTTGGGATTCGACAATTCGCATAATTCATGGATACAAAAGGATAATGTGTTGTAAAAAAATAAATACAGTTTTATTAGAACATTTGATGACATATTTAATTGTAAAATAGCTAATAAAACAAATAAACGTTATAATATTATACTAATAATAATATACTATAACATAATAATATACTATAATGTTCCCATGGTAATGTATTTATCGAATCAGATATAATATATCGCTTATCATCGTATGGACTGAGAGCAGTTTTCGTTTCGAATACCTCATGCAACTTGGATCTTATGTACGATTGACGCCGACTCGTTTCAATTTCCTCTCTCAAACAATGCGTGTAATCGTCAAAATTGATCGTTCGTGCTATAATATTCCTCTTAACACCCTTCGCCCTTTTGGTATCCTTTTTACCTTCTACTTTCAGCGCATACATTTTTGCTCTGAGCCCGACGAATTCTATCATTATAGCTCCGTTATTTTCGTCTTTCATAAGCCCTGGAACTTTTTTATTCTTAAGCGGTATACCGTATATGTTATTTTGAGGATAATCGCTCGTATCAAACTTAGCAATGTCACGTTTCATTAACTCATATACATCGTCAGACATTACATGGTAAATTAAGCTATCTGTGTCCGTATACAGTACTTTACATTTCTCACGATATAGAGGTGACATGTACTCATAGTGAAATTCATACAAGCAGGTCTTAGATATGTCGAGAATACACATACCCACATAGATCGGCTTGTTGAACTTCACTTCGAGTTTTCGCAATTCAACTGCAACCAAATTTTCTGAAAAGATGCTCTTGCTATGAAAATTGGGCATTGCGACCATTGCCTCTGCACCCCATCGTCCATCTCATTTTGTCAAAAGTTTTACATCGACATGATTGCGAACATTTTCCATTGTTTTGCCGAATACCGCGTTGTTTATCAATTTGTATAAATTTTTCTCAAAATCGTTTGTTGCATGCGTTCGAAACTGCGTATTTAATTCTATGTAGTTGCGTAGCCATGAAGATTGTACGAATTGGAGTATGCGATGAATCTTTTCGATACGAAGACCATGGCGTATGCACTGCTGCAGGTTGCGATAATGTATAACATAACACTGCTTATTATATAAAGTCGCAAGGAGTTTTTCTTGCCGTTTGTTCGGGGGCTTCGTTTGCGTCGGACAGAACGGTAGATCTACGTGTGCATCATGCAAGTGTTGGGGATACTCCAAATCAACCTCGAGAATATAACCTGTGAGCGAAACTAGCGGTATTGATGAAACATCAAAATTCGACGTATCATCAACCCACTTAAATTCAGCGTATGGTAACGGTTGACACATTGCCCCGCCATACAAATTATTTATATCAAAGTACATGAGGTATGAGGATGGCTTCGATGGGTCGTAAGATTGCATGTATCGATTATTGGCTTTTGCGTATCTACCGGAACACTGACTCAGACCACCACGTATACCGGGTTCGATAAACATTACCATATCAATATCTGTGAGTAATACAAAATTAATTTTTGTATGTTTTAACATCGCGTCCCACGTGAAACCTGGCTATGTGTAATAATGCGCGGGATCTAGACCGTAACTTTTGATACAACTATCGCGGAAATTTTCGAAAATATCAGCCAATAACAAAACATCAGTCTTCAGGTACAAATCGCTATATTCGCCTAAGACTTGAATAGAAAACTGTTCCCATACGTTCACGGCGTGCGTGTAATCGCTCTCAGATACTGTATCACCTGTCAGCGAACTGTAGAATGACTCACGCGGTGGTAAACATTGATCCTGCAGCTTGTCATTGCAATCCACATATTCGTACGGAAAGACACCTTTTCGCGTTAATAAATCAAAATCTTTGTTGGATAAGTTTTTAAATTCGGATTGAAGAATTTTTAATTTGTCTTCAGTGAGAAACGATGCTAATTTATCGAGACTGGTACTGAGAAATTTGTACGAATCGATGAACCGCAATTTAATATGATTTCGCCAGTCTGATGTTTTACTTGTTGTATCATTAATATGTTTGGTAAATGAAATATATTTTTCTTTCGTTATTGGTAGTACATCGACGTGACCTTCGAACGCGGTGGCTACTTCCTTGATAATAAAATGAGCGTCATAACCTGATAAGTTATGAAAAACTATCGGAATATAATAGGAATCTGTATAATTTAAATTACAATTGGAATGTGCCGGACCCCTGTATTGTCCGGTTAAATGACAGTGATCGCGTACGCGTATATCCCCCACTGCAAATAATTTTTCGCATATATGACAACGCGTTGCATTATAAAATGCTGCGCACTGTTCTTGTGATAAAATTTCCATAGGACATTATTACGCAGAATAATTTTTATACGATGCGCCAATTGTTTAAGTTCCTCGACGAACCACGAATGCAATTCGGATCGCGACGACACTGATATGCGGATAATGATTCATCGTAGGAACATCGTACATAATAAGCTATACTATGTACTTTAAGATGCTGATACACATACGATTTTTTTTCTTCGTTTGGCGTTTTCTCTAGAATGCATTCCAGGTCAGCGTACACCACGAATGGAATCCGTTCCCTTCTGCTGTAATTAGTAAAACTGAGCCACTTGTTGGCCTCTGTTGGCAGGATGACTGCACAGTCATTCAACTTGTTGCAATCTATGATATGATTCTCCAGTTTTTCGTTGGAATAAAAATAATGCAAGCAACTGAAAAGAAATGGATATTACGAGTTATTCTTTTATTTCATATTTGTTATATTGTATTTATGGTGAATATCTCCTTACCGATCGCATATATACTTCTTGCATTTTTTCTTACTTAGTTGCATGTCCACAAGAAGTGACAAATCTTGATCCACACGAAATGTCCCATGTTGCACTCTTGTGGATCTTGCACATATAACAAATTTACATGCATTTCCTTCTTACTGGCGAGACGTATCGGAACGATCTTACACGTTCTTCTTGCTTCTTTTTATCTTGAATGGTGTATACGTGATGGATATGTTGTTTAGCTGTTCAAACTTGGTAATTTGTTTAATCGTCATTGGAAATTCAATATCCTGAAGATTGAATATTTTGGTGTAATGTGGGTACGAAATTCCCGGTCTCCATGTCTTGCAGCTGGATATAATGCCGCGACCACGGACCATGCAAAACATGCGTTGTCTTTAGTTCGTACGTTTATCACGGCTTTCTTTAATTTTATTTTTTTGCGCAGGCAGCAACTCAATGTTGCACCCTGCATGCAGTGGATTGTATTTGTTCACATTGACTGTGAGATCAAGTATGCGCAGCAGTGCCCACCCACTATCACGTTCTTGAAATTCTTCCAAAGATGCCAAAGTAGGCTCGATGACGCGTTGCTCGTACCATTTATCCAAATCTAAAGCAGAAAAGAGTTCACTGTTTCTCGTGTTAATGCTTTTGAATGCATGATTGTCGCCTGAGATAAACTCGCCATTGAACACAGTGTTCACCTTAAGATTGCCGTGCTTTTCCATAGCACTTCGCACGTGCTCGAGCACTGTACTCTTCGCATCTTGGAGAAATCGAAGAGGTTCGATATGGTTCACGTTAATAACTGCGCCGGTTGATATGCGGCTTTCGAACGCTGTATCAATTTCTCTCCATACCAATTCTGCATCTCTTGATGCGTGTCCAGCACCCACGTGTATGAAGCGTTCTTGCACAGAAATTTTCAGTCCCTCGAGTCGTGCAATACGAGCCACCACTGATTGCGCGGCGCCAATCGACAATCGCGGTCGTTTTGCTCGACTTTGTTCTTCCAAACATCTGATACACTTGTCAAACTTTTGCACCCACGCGTCGTAAGCCTCTCGCGAATTCAGACGAGTGGATTGCTCCAACAGTTCTCGTTCGGTTTGAGTGAAGTCTTCCATTTCTTTATTAACTACAGAGAATACTCGGCTCTTTGGAATCCTTTACTTTATATTCTCTCCGTTAGAAAACACGTTCGGATATGCGCGAGTCAAATGACGACCGTGAAAGAAGGAGGGCGTACTAGGCGATGGGACCTGCTTCTTATTTCGTCCCGAAGAGAGAAAAAATATCGCGTAAGTGCGGTAGTCGCTAGACCGGGAATTGAACTCGGGTCTCTCGCTTGCAGGGGACTGCACTAAACCCACTGAGCTACCTGACGCTCCATGGTCAAGACACTCTCCTCTCCCTGATATCGTTAAAAGATGTCGTTCGGAAGCGACATCTCTAATGCCATCCCGAGTCTAAACCAAAGATATCACATCTCATTTACTTTCCTGTTTTGAGGAATATATCTGCGCATGCGCTACAACTCTGAAGAGTAAGAGGAGGGGATGCCCTATAGTAGCTTTAATATTAGGCTTCGGAAAAAAACCTCTGTTCTCAGTCGCTCTGTGAACACGAGATTCATCGGTTGTGTGTCTACATAGTAAAGTTTGGGTGTGTCTACATAATAAAAATGTATGCTGCCGGTGCTGAAGTGAACGCTAAACACGCAAATTATTACATGCCTGCTCAACATGAGGACGAGGCTCCACGAGCAAGAAAATGTGCGAAAGGTGAGTGTTATAATGCTATTTCTTTTAGTTTATCCGTAGTAATTTTTCCAAGATTCAGACATGTAAATTTTCTATGTCTTTTCAGCGTTCCACGACCTCCTGCTATGCATATCTTAGGACGCCGATACGCTTTGACTGCAACTGCTTATAAATATTTGAATATCGGAATCAGCGTAGGAGCTGAACCCGTCATAGACATAGTCATTGATGATAATCGTGGCAAACAACTGCTATTGCCGATCAAAACTTGGAATGCGCTAATGGGGCAACGTGCTGACATCCAAAGATTTCTGCAGGCCAATTTTTATAAGTCATCGTCTCCCCCGATGCGTATAGAAGAATTAACAATAACGTCATGTAAGATGTACAACTCACAAATTGTGAAACTCACAATTTTTAATAATTGCTTATATGTAACACCAGATACGTTAAATGTATTATTTACATTTGAAAATTGCATCAATCACATGTATGGATGGTTATCAGAAAATATCTGTATAGTTAGTGTAAAATTCAAAACTTTTGTAAATATTCTTCGTGAAAAGAAAATTATATTACTAATATACATCTGCAACAAAAACAATACAAGAAAGCAGCGACTTTGACGCGAGTCGCTCATTGATTGTGAATTGTTAGCATGCGCTGTAAAAAATATAATGTATGAAGCCGTGAACAAATAAATGATATTCTAAAACATAAAATTATATATAAATTAATTCTATATGTCTCCCATTTTACTTCCCTTCCCCCTCCTCAGAACGATGAGGATAGTGCCCAGCGCAAGTCGGTATGGTAAAATACTCTTTCGACGAACGTTTCGTATTCCCTTCCAACCTACCCTATGATGGTCTAAGTGGTAGGACCATCGCACAATAAACGAAGGGTCCGGGTCCGAGTCTGGCCTAGTTTCGACTTTGTTTTTCTTTTGACGCATGCGTGACGCCATCATACACACTGTAAGAACCTTCACTAGGCGCCTACTAGCAATAGGTAACAATGGTCTAGGAGGTTCGAGAGACGTCCGATAGACGTTCGAGAGACGTTCGAGAGACGTTCGAGAGACGTCCGATAGACGTTCGAGAGACGTCCGATAGACGTTCGAGAGACGTCCGATAGACGTTCGATAGTAATCGCGGGGCCCAGGTTCGACCCTATCTACACCGCCGCCATGTTTGTTCTTTTGACGTATGCGTGACGTCACGGTCGCCATCTTACCCGTAACGGACGTCTGCTAGCAATAGGCAACGGTGGTCTAGAAGGTTCGAGCGCTCGATAGCAACCGCGGGACCCAGGTTCAAGTCTGGCCTACACCGCCGCCATGTTTTTTCTTTTGACGTATGCGTGACGTCATCACACACATACTGTAAGAACCTTCACTAGACGTCTACTAGCAACAGGCAGCAATGGTCTAGGAGGTTCAAGCGTCCGATAGCAACCCGCGGGACCCAGGTTCGAGTCTACCTACAGCCCGACGCGTTTTTCTCTCGTGATGTCACGGCCGCCATCTTGCTCATAGAATCAAAGATTCGGGTGGAGCAGGAGGTTACCAATAAAGAGGAGGTATAAATTAAAAGGGGGATCAATTAAGAGAGGGATCAATAAACAGGGGGTCAATAAAGAGGGGGTATCAATGAAGAGCGGGTATCAATTAAGAGGGGGATCAATTAGGGAGGGTATTAATTAAAAAATATTAATTAATAAATAATGTCTTTTGCATAATTAATTAGGAATTTGGGTTAGAATCCCCCTAGTTTATCTACTATTGAATTTATCAGTGTTTTCTCTGCTCTCACTGATTTACTTGTCTGTAAAGTGTGCAAGCAAAAAGTTAAATTTGGACAATCAGGTGAAAGAGGTCTTGGTTTCAAAATTGCAGTGCAGTGTAGATGCGGAACTTCCCTTAGTCCTTCAATCAGGATCGTTTATTCACAATGGTTATGAAATAAATAGACGTGTTGTTTTTGCCATGCGCTTACTCGGTGTTACTCGAGAAGGTATCAATATTTTTTGTGGTATTATGGACTTAGGCAGTGGATTATCTATACAAGCTTACGACCGTATAATACAGCATATACATTCGTGTGTCAAAAAAATTTTTGCTTGGAGTTGCAAAATTGCAGTAAAAGAAAAAAGAAATAATGAAAGAATGGAAAGCCGTTACTAAATTTCACGGTAAGCGGCGACGGATCGTGGAAAAAGCGCGGGTTCTCCTCTCTCTATGGCGTGACGACTCTTATCGCTTACTACTCGGGTAAAGTGATTGATTTAATCGTAAAAAGTAGCTACTGTCAAGCATGTACCTACTTTCGGCACCACGCTGACGATGGTCAGAGTGCAGAGCATTTAGAAAATTGTACCATAACTCATAAAGGATCTGAAGGTAAAATGGAGGTCGACGCTGTGCTTGAAATGTTTCGTCGTTCTGAGGAAAATTTTAATGTACGTTATACTAATTATGTCGGAGATGGTGATGCAAGAACTTTTAAGGCTATTCTAGAGGCTAAGCCGTATGAAAGGTGTTGAAGTGATAAAAGTGGTGCGTAGGTCATGTCGAAAAGAGGATGGGGAGCCGCCTTAGAAATATAAAAAAACGCTAAGCTTGGTGGAAAAGGAAAGCTTACAGATGCTTTAATTTAAAAAATTGACAAAAATATTATGGTCTGGCCATTCGTAGGAATGCACACTCAAGAAAATATGAAAAAAGAAATAATGGCTACTTATTACCATCTATCTTCGACAGATAAACAGCCGCAGCATCACTTTTGCCCTACTGGCGCCGACTCGTGAGTGCATATAACGCTGCAAAAGCCACAAATGTTTGCCTTTAAACATCCAGAAACCACTGCACAAAGATGTACAAAAGCACATTTTGCCAATTTATGAAGATTTGTCTCGGGATGACTTGTTGGAACGATGCGTGGGCGGCTTCACACAGAATGCGAACGAATCTTTCAACGCAACTGTGTGGCGTTTNTCAAAAGAATCCCCGGACGATTCTGGTACACCGAAGCTGATATGCAAAAATACAAAAATATACTATTGGCGACAAATACTCACAGACGCGGGTACCTCCCGCAAAATCCTATACTCGGTAACAAGGGACACAAATATAAACATATAATCGCGCCCCTAGTATCATGCGTCGAGCAATAAAGTGGGAGGAAAAGGTTTATACGCATCGCAAGCTATGATGACCTTAAATGACAACAATATCGATTACTGCATTGGGATGATCCCAACGAGCTGGTGGATCGTCTGCGATTGCTTGACGCTTCGCGCCAAGCTGGCAACAACTCGCACGAGCACGAAATTTTATCGATTATCGAAGAACTCCGTGAAGCTGGTCTCATTATAAATTAAGCAGCGTGGCATTGACACAAGTCAGTCAGTCGGTACAACTTGTTCCGAAATGTCGATGAATAAGTTTGGAGTGTCGCGAGAAAACAATGGTGCGAAAACTGATCGAGCGCATCAATGGAATGAACATGTTGAAAATTACATACATGAAAATGCCCTTTGTTTAAACGCTGCCAAAGTTTTGATGCAAAATCGCGCAAGATAAAACATGTAGCGCAGCCTGAAGCCGACAGTGACGTTGCAACCAAACAATACGTGGAAAGAATGTGTTGCAGGTGTGAGAAATCATTTGAATGATGTTGCAACCAAACGATACGTACATGAAAATGCCCTTTGTCTAACCGCCGATGGCAAAGGTTTTGACGCAACAGGGCACGCGATACATCATGTAACGCGCCGAGAGCCTTCAATGATGTTGCGCACAAAAATTATGTGGATGAGAGTATAAAGTCTGTAAAACTTCTGCTGCATGAGAGTAACGTTGAGAAGAAGCAGTATATAGATGAGAATATAAATTCTGTAAAGCTTCTACTGCATGAGAGTAACGTTGAGACGAAGCAGTATGTAGATGAGAATGTTAAAAATTGAAGGATTGGCTGGAAGACTACCAGAAGAAAAACATACTGAGCATAAATAGCATTCATGAAACACAGAACGAATTTTAGACTGGACAGATTCAGAGATAAGAAATCGTCGAAAATATAAAAGTAGAATTTGCAGTTGGAAATCGGACATATATTAGGTTTGTTCGGAAAGTACATTTCAAAATTTCGCGCGCTCCACATTCTATGTAATCAGTAAGAACGAGGGCGCTCTAAACGATTTTATGTTTGTCAACAAACATTCCCAGATCTATGAGCCCGCTAAGGAAACTTCGCAGATTTCCTAAGTGCAACTATTTCGTCAGAATCAGTTCGAAAAATGGAGAACAAAAAGTCCATTTTCGTCATGTGATGCTATATTGCTTTAAACGTGGATTCACGGCTTCGCAGACCCTGAATGAGATGTTCTCAGTATATGGAGATGCCTACGTCACTCACCAGACAGTTCGAAAATGGTATCGAAGATTCGAAGCTGGCGATTTCAACATGGAAGATCAAGCTCGCTCAGGCCGGCCTCAGGAGGTTGATGAAACGCTTCTTATGGATCTCGTGCACGGAAATCCTCGAGTGACAGTTAGAGAACTTGCCGACACTCTGCACAAGTCTGTTTCCACCGTGCATGACCATTTGAAGAAGCTAGGATTCTCAAGTCGATTGGATGTGTGAGTGCCACACGAAATGAATGAACGGCAGTTGCTGGAACGTGTGAACGTCTGCGATATGCTGCTTCAACGGCACCAAAAAGGACCGTTCTTGAAGAGGATCATAACAAGCGATGAAAGTTGGATCCTATACAATTATGTTAGCCGCAAGAGGTCGTGGGGAACCAGCGACGCGTCTACGCAAACAGTGGTCAAGCCGGGGCTTCACGCGAAAAAGGTTCTTCTGAGTATCTGGTGGGATTTTAAGGGCGTGGTATATTATGAGCTTCTTCAACCAAACGAAACCATCAACGCGGCGAAGTACAGCCTTCAACTGGACGAACTGAAGACTGCCATCGCACGGAAGCACCCTGAATTGGCCAACAGACGTGGAATTGTTTTCCATCATGATAACGCCAGACCTCACGTCGCAATGTCTATCCGTAGGAAGCTGTTAGACTTCGAATGGGACGTTCTTCCTCATCCTCCATATTCTCCTGATCTTGTCCCATCTGACTACTATCTGTTTCTTTCTTTAAAAAATTTTCTTCGGGACAAGAAATTCGAGTCTTTGAAAGTCCTCAAAAATCATCTTGATAAATTCTTCGCCAATAAGAAACCTTTATTTTGGAGCATCATGCAGCTTCCTGAAAGATGGGCCAAGATCGTTGAACAAAACGGTACATATTTGCTTCAATAAAGTTCCTCTTTGTGTAAAATATTGCGCTCTTAATTTATTTCAAAAATTTGAAACGAACTTTCCGAACAACCTAATAGTATCGACATAAACAAGAGACGGATCATCACGAGCTGCAATGGTGAAACAATCGTCAAAATTTAACAAAAAGAAGAAAAGTTCAGAGAAGCAACTCATCAGTACTATTTCAGCTGTTTCTGCCGGTGTAAAGCGACAAAGCTTCACGCATGATGGGAAAACGACTCGGCGAGTAACGGGGAAAAATAATGAGAAGAAACATTCCGAAATAGAACAACTAGTGAAAGAATTACACGCTCCAGCAAGACGAAATTTTCCTCGCAGACGCGTCATAGTGCGTGGATACGATGATCTTTGGCAGGCCGATGTGGTGGAAATGCGTCCTTACTCGCGATTCAATGGAGGCCACCACTACATACTCACCATTATCGATGTACTGAGCAAGCACGCATGGGCCGTGCTGTTAAAGAGCAAAAGCGGAAAGGAGATAGCCGAGGCATTCGCAAAGATTTCGAACGGATGGAAGATGTCCGAAGAACTTGCAAACTGATCAGGGAAAGGAGTTTTACAATACAGAGTTGCAGAGACTTGTGAAGAAACACGGTGTCAATCATTATTTGACTTATTCAGTAATGAAGGCATCTGTTGTGGAGCGATTCAACCGCACGTTAAAGAACAACATGTGGAAAATGCTTACGTTCAACGGAACTTACAAATGGATCGACTCGTTACCGCGCCTCGTCGTTGAATACAACACGCGAAAACATCGAACTATCGGCATGCGTCCTATCGATGTGACTCCTATGATTGCTAATAAGCTCTTAAACACAGTCTATAGTAACATAAAGATTGCAGCGCCTGCGAAATTCAAAGTGGGTGATCTGGTACGCGTCAGTAAACTCAAAACTATCTTTGAAAAAGGCTATACACCGAATTGGACAACCGAAGTGTTTAAAATCGTCAAAGTACAGACAACTAATCCTGCAACTTACCTACTCGCAGACTCGCGCGGGAAATCTATCGCCGGGGGTTTCTACGAACACGAACTACATAGTGTCATCAATCCAGATGTATACTTAGTAGAAAAGGTGTTGCGCAGGCAAGGCGACAAAGTATATGTAAAATGGTTGGGATTCGACAATTCGCATAATTCATGGATACAAAAGGATAATGTGTTGTAAAAAAATAAATACAGTTTTATTAGAACATTTGATGACATATTTAATTGTAAAATAGCTAATAAAACAAATAAACGTTATAATATTATACTAATAATAATATACTATAACATAATAATATACTATAATGTTCCCATGGTAATGTATTTATCGAATCAGATATAATATATCGCTTATCATCGTATGGACTGAGAGCAGTTTTCGTTTCGAATACCTCATGCAACTTGGATCTTATGTACGATTGACGCCGACTCGTTTCAATTTCCTCTCTCAAACAATGCGTGTAATCGTCAAAATTGATCGTTCGTGCTATAATATTCCTCTTAACACCCTTCGCCCTTTTGGTATCCTTTTTACCTTCTACTTTCAGCGCATACATTTTTGCTCTGAGCCCGACGAATTCTATCATTATAGCTCCGTTATTTTCGTCTTTCATAAGCCCTGGAACTTTTTTATTCTTAAGCGGTATACCGTATATGTTATTTTGAGGATAATCGCTCGTATCAAACTTAGCAATGTCACGTTTCATTAACTCATATACATCGTCAGACATTACATGGTAAATTAAGCTATCTGTGTCCGTATACAGTACTTTACATTTCTCACGATATAGAGGTGACATGTACTCATAGTGAAATTCATACAAGCAGGTCTTAGATATGTCGAGAATACACATACCCACATAGATCGGCTTGTTGAACTTCACTTCGAGTTTTCGCAATTCAACTGCAACCAAATTTTCTGAAAAGATGCTCTTGCTATGAAAATTGGGCATTGCGACCATTGCCTCTGCACCCCATCGTCCATCTCATTTTGTCAAAAGTTTTACATCGACATGATTGCGAACATTTTCCATTGTTTTGCCGAATACCGCGTTGTTTATCAATTTGTATAAATTTTTCTCAAAATCGTTTGTTGCATGCGTTCGAAACTGCGTATTTAATTCTATGTAGTTGCGTAGCCATGAAGATTGTACGAATTGGAGTATGCGATGAATCTTTTCGATACGAAGACCATGGCGTATGCACTGCTGCAGGTTGCGATAATGTATAACATAACACTGCTTATTATATAAAGTCGCAAGGAGTTTTTCTTGCCGTTTGTTCGGGGGCTTCGTTTGCGTCGGACAGAACGGTAGATCTACGTGTGCATCATGCAAGTGTTGGGGATACTCCAAATCAACCTCGAGAATATAACCTGTGAGCGAAACTAGCGGTATTGATGAAACATCAAAATTCGACGTATCATCAACCCACTTAAATTCAGCGTATGGTAACGGTTGACACATTGCCCCGCCATACAAATTATTTATATCAAAGTACATGAGGTATGAGGATGGCTTCGATGGGTCGTAAGATTGCATGTATCGATTATTGGCTTTTGCGTATCTACCGGAACACTGACTCAGACCACCACGTATACCGGGTTCGATAAACATTACCATATCAATATCTGTGAGTAATACAAAATTAATTTTTGTATGTTTTAACATCGCGTCCCACGTGAAACCTGGCTATGTGTAATAATGCGCGGGATCTAGACCGTAACTTTTGATACAACTATCGCGGAAATTTTCGAAAATATCAGCCAATAACAAAACATCAGTCTTCAGGTACAAATCGCTATATTCGCCTAAGACTTGAATAGAAAACTGTTCCCATACGTTCACGGCGTGCGTGTAATCGCTCTCAGATACTGTATCACCTGTCAGCGAACTGTAGAATGACTCACGCGGTGGTAAACATTGATCCTGCAGCTTGTCATTGCAATCCACATATTCGTACGGAAAGACACCTTTTCGCGTTAATAAATCAAAATCTTTGTTGGATAAGTTTTTAAATTCGGATTGAAGAATTTTTAATTTGTCTTCAGTGAGAAACGATGCTAATTTATCGAGACTGGTACTGAGAAATTTGTACGAATCGATGAACCGCAATTTAATATGATTTCGCCAGTCTGATGTTTTACTTGTTGTATCATTAATATGTTTGGTAAATGAAATATATTTTTCTTTCGTTATTGGTAGTACATCGACGTGACCTTCGAACGCGGTGGCTACTTCCTTGATAATAAAATGAGCGTCATAACCTGATAAGTTATGAAAAACTATCGGAATATAATAGGAATCTGTATAATTTAAATTACAATTGGAATGTGCCGGACCCCTGTATTGTCCGGTTAAATGACAGTGATCGCGTACGCGTATATCCCCCACTGCAAATAATTTTTCGCATATATGACAACGCGTTGCATTATAAAATGCTGCGCACTGTTCTTGTGATAAAATTTCCATAGAGATATTATTACACAGAATAATTTTTATACGATGCGTCAATTGTTTAAGTTCCTCGACGAACCACGAGATGCAATTCGGATCGCGACGACACTGATATGCGAATAATGATTCATCGTAGGAACATCGTACATAATAAGCTATACTATGTACTTTAAGATGCTGTTACACATACGATTTTTTTTCTTCGTTTGGCGTTTTCTCTAGAATGCATTCCAGGTCAGCGTACACCACGAATGGAATCCGTTCCCTTCTGCTGTAATTAGTAAAACTGAGCCACTTGTTGGCCTCTGTTAGCAGGATGACTGCACAGTCACTCAACTTGTTGCAATCTATGATATGATTCTCCAGTTTTTCGTTGGAATAAAAATAATGCAAGCAACTGAAAAGAAATGGATATTACGAGTTATTCTTTTATTTCATATTTGTTATATTGTATTTATGGTGAATATCTTCTTACCGATCGCATATATACTTCTTGCATTTTTTCTTACTTAGTTGCATGTCCACAAGACATGACAAATTCTTGATCCACACGAAATGTCCCATGCACTCTTGTGGATCTTGCACATATAACAAATTTACATGCATTTCCTTCTTACTGGTGAGACGTATCGGAACGATCGTACATGCTTCTTCTTGCTTCTTTTTATCTTGAATGGTGTATACGTTGATGGATATGTTGTTTAACCTGTTCAAACTTGATAATTTGTTTAATCGTCATTGGAAATTCAATATCCTGAAGATTGAATATTTTGGTGTAATGTGGGTACGAAAATTCCCGGTCTCCATGTCTTGCAGCTGGATATAATGCAGCGACCACGGACCATGCAAAACATGCGTTGTCTTTAGTTCGTACGTTTATCACGGCTTTCTTTAATTTTATTTGCGATGCATTTGCATGCAGGGTGCAACATTGAGGCAACTCAATGTTGCACCCTGCATGTAGTAGATTGTATTTGTTCACATTGACTGTGAGATCAAGTATGCGCAGCAGTGCCCACCCACTATCACGTTCTTGAAATTCTTCCAAAGATGCCAAAGTAGGCTCGATGACGCGTTGCTCGTACCATTTATCCAAATCTAAAGCAGAAAAGAGTTCACTGTTTCTCGTGTTAATGCTTTTGAATGCATGATTGTCGCCTGAGATAAACTCGCCATTGAACACAATGTTCACCTTAAGATTGCCGTGCTTTTCCATAGCACTTCGCACGTGCTCGAGCACTGTACTCTTCGCATCTTGGAGAAATCGAAGAGGTTCGATATGGTTCACGTTAATAACTGCGCCGGTTGATATGCGGTTTTCGAATGCTGTATCAATTTCTCTCCATACCAATTCTGCATCTCTTGATGTGTGTCCAGCACCTACGTGTATGAAGCGTTCTTGCACAGAAATTTTCAGTCCCTCGAGTCGTGCAATACGAGCCACCACTGATTGCGCGGCGCCAATCGACAATCGCGGTCGTTTTGCTCGACTTTGTTCTTCCAAACATCTGATACACTTGTCAAACTTTTGCACCCACGCGTCGTAAGCCTCTCGCGAATTCAGACGAGTGGATTGCTCCAACAGTTCTCGTTCGGTTTGAATGAAGTCTTCCATTTCTTTATTAACTACAGAGAATACTCGGCTCTTTGGAATCCTTTACTTTATATTCTCTCCGTTAGAAAACACGTTAGGATATGCGCGAGTCAAATGACGACCGTGAAAGAAGGAGGGCGTACTAGGCGATGGGACCTACTTCTTATTTCGTCCCGAAGAGAGAAAAAATATCGCGTAAGTGCGGTAGTCGCTAGGCCGGGAATTGAACGGGTCTCTCGCTTGCAGGGGGACTGCACTAAACCCACTGAGCTACCTGACGCTCCATGGTCAAGACACTCTCCTCTCCTCTGATATCGTTAAAAGATGTCGTTCGGAAGCGACATCTCTAATGCCATCCCGAGTCTAAACCAAAGAAATCCACATCTCATTTACTTTCCTGTTTTGAGGAATATATCTACGCATGCGCTACAACTCTGAAGAGTAAGAGGAGAGGATGCCCTATAGTAGCTTTAATATTAGGCTTCGGAAAAAAACCTCTGTTTCTCAGTCGCTCTGTGAACACGAGATTCATCGGTTGTGTGTCTACATAGTAAAGTTTGGGTGTGTCTACATAATAAAAATGTATGCTACCGGTGCTGAAGTGAACGCTAAACATGCAAATTATTACATGCCTGCTCAACATGAGGACGAGGCTCCATCGAGCAAGAAAATGTGCGAAATGTGAGTGTTATAATGCTATTTCTTTTAGTTTATCCGTAGTAATTTTTCCAAGATTCAGACATGTAAATTTTCTATGTCTTTTCAGCGTTCCACGACCTCCTGCTATGCATATCTTAGGACGCCGATACGCTTTGACTGCAACTGCTTATAAATATTTGAATATCGGAATCAGCGTAGGAGCTGAACCCGTCATAGACATAGTCATTGATGATAATCGTGGCAAACAACTGCTATTGCCGATCAAAACTTGGAATGCGCTAATGGGGCAACGTGCTGACATCCAAAGATTTCTGCAGGCCAATTTTTATAAGTCATCGTCTCCCCCGATGCGTATAGAAGAATTAACAATAACGTCATGTAAGATGTACAACTCATAAATTCTGAAACTCACAATTTCTAATAATTGCTTATATGTAACACCAGATACGTTAAATATATTATTTACATTTGAAAATTGCATCAATCACATGTATGGATGGTTATCAGAAAATATCTGTATAGTTAGTGTAAAATTCAAAACTTTTGTAAATATTCTTCGTGAAAAGAAAAATTATATTACTAATATACATTCTGCAACAAAAACAATACAAGAAAGCAGTGACTTTGACTGCGAGTCGCTCATTGATTGTGAATTGTTAGCATGCGCTGTAAAAAATATAATGTATGAAGCCGTGAACAAATAAATGATATTCTAAAACATAAAATTATATATAAATTAATTCTATATGTCTCCCATTTTACTTCCCTTCCCCCTCCTCAGAACGATGAGGATAGTGCCCAGCGCAAGTCGGTATGGTAAAATACTCTTTCGACGAACGTTTCGTATTCCCTTCCAACCTACCCTATGATGGTCTAAGTGGTAGGACCATCGCACAATAAACGAAGGGTCCGGGTCCGAGTCTGGCCTAGTTTCGACTTTGTTTTTCTTTTGACGCATACGTGACGCCATCATACACACTGTAAGAACCTTCACTAGGCGCCTACTAGCAATAGGTAACAATGGTCTAGGAGGTTCGAGAGACGTCCGATAGACGTTCGAGAGACGTTCGAGAGACGTTCGAGAGACGTCCGATAGACGTTCGAGAGACGTCCGATAGACGTTCGAGAGACGTCCGATAGACGTTCGATAGTAATCGCGGGGCCCAGGTTCGACCCTATCTACACCGCCGCCATGTTTGTTCTTTTGACGTATGCGTGACGTCACGGTCGCCATCTTACCCGTAACGGGACGTCTGCTAGCAATAGGCAACGGTGGTCTAGAAGGTTCGAGCGCTCGATAGCAACCGCGGGACCCAGGTTCAAGTCTGGCCTACACCGCCGCCATGTTTTTTCTTTTGACGTATGCGTGACGTCATCACACACATACTGTAAGAACCTTCACTAGACGTCTACTAGCAACAGGCAGCAATGGTCTAGGAGGTTCAAGCGTCCGATAGCAACCCGCGGGACCCAGGTTCGAGTCTACCTACAGCCCGACGCGTTTTTCTCTCGTGATGTCACGGCCGCCATCTTGCTCATAGAATCAAAGATTCCGGGGTGGAGCAGGAGGTTACCAATAAAGAGGAGGTATAAATTAAAAGGGGGGATCAATTAAGAGAGGGATCAATAAACAGGGGGGTCAATAAAGAGGGGGTATCAATGAAGAGCGGGTATCAATTAAGAGGGGGGATCAATTAGGGAGGGTATTAATTAAAAAATATTAATTAATAAATAATGTCTTTTGCATAATTAATTAGGAATTTGGGTTAGAATCCCCCTAGTTTATCTACTATTGAATTTATCAGTGTTTTCTCTGCTCTCACTGATTTACTTGTCTGTAAAGTGTGCAAGCAAAAAGTTAAATTTGGACAATCAGGTGAAAGAGGTCTTGGTTTCAAAATTGCAGTGCAGTGTAGATGCGGAACTTCCCTTAGTCCTTCAATCAGGATCGTTTATTCACAATGGTTATGAAATAAATAGACGTGTTGTTTTTGCCATGCGCTTACTCGGTGTTACTCGAGAAGGTATCAATATTTTTTGTGGTATTATGGACTTAGGCAGTGGATTATCTATACAAGCTTACGACCGTATAATACAGCATATACATTCGTGTGTCAAAAAAATTTTTGCTTGGAGTTGCAAAATTGCAGTAAAAGAAAAAAGAAATAATGAGAAGAATGGAAAGCCGTTACTAAATTTCACGGTAAGCGGCGACGGATCGTGGAAAAAGCGCGGGTTCTCCTCTCTCTATGGCGTGACGACTCTTATCGCTTACTACTCGGGTAAAGTGATTGATTTAATCGTAAAAAGTAGCTACTGTCAAGCATGTACCTACTTTCGGCACCACGCTGACGATGGTCAGAGTGCAGAGCATTTAGAAAATTGTACCATAACTCATAAAGGATCTGAAGGTAAAATGGAGGTCGACGCTGTGCTTGAAATGTTTCGTCATTCTGAGGAAAATTTTAATGTACGTTATACTAATTATGTCGGAGATGGTGATGCAAGAACTTTTAAGGCTATTCTAGAGGCTAAGCCGTATGAAGGTGTTGAAGTGATAAAAAGTGAGTGCGTAGGTCATGTCGAAAAGAGGATGGGGAGCCGCCTTAGAAATATAAAAAATCGCTAAGCTTGGTGGAAAAGGAAAGCTTACAGATGCTTTAATTTAAAAAATTGACAAAATATTATGGTCTGGCCATTCGTAGGAATGCACACTCAAGAGAAAATATGAAAAAAGAAATAATGGCTACTTATTACCATCTATCTTCGACAGATAAACAGCCGCAGCATCACTTTTGCCCTACTGGCGCCGACTCGTGATGTGCATATAACGCTGCAAAAGCCACAAATGTTGCCTTTAAACATCCAAAACCACTGCACAAAGATGTACAAAAGCACATTTTGCCAATTTATGAAGATTTGTCTCGGGATGACTTGTTGGAACGATGCGTGGGCGGCTTCACATAGAATGCGAACGAATCTTTCAATGCAACTGTGTGGCGTTTGGCTCCGAAGCATTTGAACTGCAGTTCAAAAATCATCGAAATTGCTGCATACTTGGCCGGAGGTATGTTCAACGATGGATATATGTTTGTACTGAGAGTTATGAACAACCTAGAACTGCAAATTGGCCCGGAGTGCAAAAAATTTGCTGATACTAACGTAAGAATCGAGTAAAGAGGCAAGATCGACGATCAGGAGATGCTTCAAAAGAGGCTAGGACTGCTCGAAAAGAGGAAAATGCAGCACAATTATATGCTTTTCTAGAAGAGGAAGGATTACTTTACAGCCCTGGCATCGCAGACTAAGCTTAGGTAAATATAAATCACTCTAAACTTAACTTTTCGGTAGCGAAAACTTTAAACGCGTTTTTCTCATAACGCTTTTTTTTCGTGCCGGACAATATAACTCAAAAAGTAAATGACCGATTAATTTGAAATTTTGCACAGATATTTGTACATGTATGGTATACTTCATGAACCTAAAATTATATTAAAATTGTTATAATAAATATTGTTTTTAACAATTTCTTTATAAAAGAAAAGGTATATTTTTTTCTAAATATCCTCAATCTTTCATATATTTTTTTGGCTAAATTTAGGTTCATGAAGTACAAAATAATTTATTTTGATAAAAAGAATTTGATTCATTGATTTCAGACAATTATAAGGACCTGAGCGTTGTCCGGCGCAAACTCGAGGAGCTAAGTTCAAGCAGCTATAGCGCCGCCATTTTCTTTTTTTTCAACAACAAAAAAATTTTTTCTTGTAGATTTGAACTTAAATATTACAATGCATTTTATTTCAATTCAATAAATACTCTCACTTTTTTGTAATAAAATCTTTAAGAAAGTGCTGTTTACATGAGGTTCCCCCCTTAAAAACATTTTTGCTCAGATGCCAACATAACTCCAACACTTTGATTTGAGAAGCCTCGATTTCGACTGGAACACCTTCTTCCTTGGGGGTGGTGGTAGATGGTGGAAAGAGTTCTGATACATTGCTATTCCATTTCTGCAACGGAAAGCCTCCAGCGTGGCAAAGTTGGGCAAGTTCATGCATAATAAGTTTCGCTTCATGGATGGAATCAGCGCCGTCAAAAATATCATCTACGTAGCGTCCTTTGCTTAAAGATGGCACTGCTAATGGAAACCGATGGCCCTCATTGGCAATTAGCTGTTCGATTGTCTGGACAGCTAAAAAAGGAGCACAGCTTAATCCATAGGTGACGGTGGTAAGCCGGTAGAATTTAATTTGCTGATTAGAGTCTTCCCAGAAGATGCGTTGCAAATTTTGGTCTTCTGGATGCACGTTGATTTGCCAGCACATTTTCTCGATGTCAGTCGAAAATACATACCGATAAAGCCGAAATCATAGCAAAACATCTGAGATATTAGTTTGCAGCTTGACTCCGGAGTACAGGATGTCGTTCAAAGAGACTCCTGAACTAGTACGACTAGAACAATTGAAATTACCCGGAGTTTGGTGGTACGGTTTTGCTCCCAAAGAACTCCGTGGTGAGGAAGATAAAATACGGGAGAAGTGTTCATTTCCGAATCTGGTACTAAACTCGTGTGGCCTAGTGATCCATATTCTTGGATGGAAGTGGAGTATCTTTCTCTATAAGTAGGATCTGTTTGCCTTCGGCGGCTTAGCCGTGATAGACTTCGTAAGGCTTGCTGTTTGGAGTCTCCTAAATTTGCTGCTGAGGTTTTCAAAGGTAATCTTACAATATACCTGCCTGAGGAATCCTGGAGTGTGTGGATTTAAAATGATCTTCACAGATAGCTTCTTCGGAACTTAAGGATGATTCTGTAGACATCGGGGTATCTCCTCTTGAGTCCAGAATCGACACAATAAATCATGTAAGTCGTGATCTACCGAGCAATGGTAGTTAATTGCAGAATTGGTTTCATCTGTAACTGAAACTGGACTCGAAAGGGTCCAGCCGAAAATAGTTAATTGAACTAGCGGAAATGGAGGATTCGCAGGGATCAAGTCTGGTAGAATTATTTGACCATAATAATCAGCTCCGATGATCAAATTGATTGGGGCAGGACGATGGTAGTTAGGATCTGCTAACGGTAATCTTCGCATATGCGTTCCCAGAGTAGAAGTTACAAGGAACGAAGATAATCGGCATGTAAGTCGTGGCAAAATATGAGCTTGTATCGTACATGAATTCGGTGTATTTTGACAGGAATGCAAAGTGATGGTAACCTTTCCGCGGGCATCCAGAATACCTAAGAGCGGAATTGAAGCAAAACTTCGGTTAATCCTTAATCGTTGTACCACCTTTTCCGTTATGAAAGACAATTCCGAGCCAGGATCTAAAAGAATTCTTAATGATTCGTATTCTCCGCTAGACGTAGGAGTCTGGGCTTGACAGGTGGCGAGGAGAACAGGAAGCCGTGTTGACGCAACTCGTTCAATGTGATGAACGAGTTGAGAGTCTAGTCATTGGCAGCTTTGGACGGAGGATGGATCTGATGTTTTTTGTGGTCCGATCTTGGAAGATCTTGGAGTTGAGGAAACATGGATATCCGAAGATCGGTGCAAGGATGTATGGTGCTTCTTACCGCATCTAAAACATCTTTGAGTGCTGGAACACTGATATACGTTATGTGATCCCAGACAATTGTAACAAAGCTTTAACTTGTTGATTTCCTATCGACGTTCTATTGAAAAGGCTTCATAGCGGGAACAAGTAGTAAGTTTATGTGATAACCCGCAAAGACTGCAAGTTGGATTGTTTAAATTTCCGTTGCCAGTGGCTACTAAAGTACGCGCACGTGAATCTTGTCTGGAATGCTTCAGATCGAATCGATTATTTCTAGATTGATTTTCTGTTTGCAGCGCTAAACTTTCAAGAGCTAATGTGCGATTGTTCAAAAAATTCTCGAAGTATGCAAAGGTGGGATAAGTAATAGTAGATCCTAAATGCAATTCCCAAGCGATACGAGTTTTATCGTCTGATAGTCGAGCCAAATGATAACCAAAAAGGAATCCCACGATTCTACAGGACAACCAAAAACCTTGAGTGCATTAAACGATTCTATAACCAAGCTGTGAAAAAGGCTTAAATTATGAGCCGAATTTGTTTTTAATGGTTTAATGTTAAAAAGCTTGTCAAATTGAGCATTGAGCAAGAATCGTTTATTATCGTACCGAATTACGAGAGATTTCCAAGCGATGGCAAAATTATCGTCTGATACCGGAAGAGTACTAATTAACCGTTCTGCTTCTCCGGAGACCCAAATTTTTAAATATTGCATGCGCTCAGCATCGGTTAAATCAGTATTTCTTATGACAATGGATGAAAATAGATCAAAAAAGGTTTTCCAAGTATGGATATCACCTGAGAATCGTGGGAGTCAATTTGGGTAGAGCATTACGGTGACTGCAGGCTGGTCCGGGATTTGAGGTCATTGAAAGAGATAAATGTGAAGAAGGATTAGAGTTGCCCAGATTATCTTGAAGTGTCAACCATGAAGTGTCAACCATGAAGCACGAGCTTGAATGTAAAATTCCAGACAGTTCGTAAGTCCTATTTTTAATGTATGACTCTTCTTCGAACGGACTAAAATCTCCATTGCATATGCTTTCATGTTCGGCTTGAAATTTGGACCAATTGGTTTCCAACACCTCCAATCGAGTATTCACTAATTGACGATTGTTCGAAAGGGAGTGGTCGTCAGACGCTTCTTCAATTTATCGTTGAATTAACGAAAATCGATTTTCTTGTTGCATTATCCGGTATCGCAGATTTGCCATGATGGTAACGAACGTGTATCAGCAATCGAAAGATAAGTTTCCACTATTACAATTATATCGATTCTATATTGGCAGGACTACCAAACGGACGAGGTGAATAGCCACGCGAACGAACACATCGAGAGTCTGACTCGCGGCACTGTCGAACGTTCGATATGCTCACGCGTCACTAGCAAGTTCAAATAACTATTCGATTGGTAACCGCACTCGTGAACAGACGGGTGAATAGGTAACCCGGCGCGCCACCATTCATTAGCACGAATGAACCGGAATACTGTTCGACAGACGTTTTAATGAACGGACGTCGTGCTAACGAGTCATTAGTACGTACCCACGACGATTCGATCGGTATCGGCGCCCGCGAATTTCACAACTTTCTGACTTTGGCCTTCCTTTCCATAACAAGAAAAAAAAATCACTCCCGCAGGTTGGCGCAAAACTTGCACACGCGAACAAACGAATCCTGCTCGAAGCACCAAAAAATGTCTGAATAAGAATCTGGCACGGTTTCTTCGCGTGAACTCTTTAATTATTGTCCTTTCTTTTCGAAAAAGAACTTAAATGATCGAACACTGACACAAGTTATATTGCCGGATGACTCCGAGACTGGCTGGATGGAAGGAATCAGAAACGTGGCGAAAGCTGCGTAGAATCAGGAAGATGACGAAAGCCGCGTTAGTCCGGGAAAGCGGCGAGGAACCGCGCAGGATTCGGGAGGGCGATAAGAGCGACGTAGGAACCGGGAAGGCGGCGAGTACAGTGCAGGAATCAGGAAGGCGGCAAGATCCACGTTGGTCTGGGAAACCAGCGAGGAGCCGCGCGGGATTCGGGAGGGCGATGAGAGCCACGTAGGAACCGGGAAGGCGGCGAGAACAGCGCAGGTGTCAAGAAGGCGGTGAGATCCACGTTGGTCCGGGAAACTGGCGAGGAGCCGCGTGGGATTCGGGAGGGCAGTAAGAGCCACGTAGGAATCGGGAAGGCGGCGAGAACAGCACAGGAATCAGGAAGGCGGCGAGATCCACGTTGGTCCGGGAAACTGGCGAGGAGCCGCACAGGATTCGGGAGGGCGATGAGAGCCACGTAGGAACCGGGAAGGCGGCGAGAACAGCGCAGGAATCAGGAAGGCGGCGAGAGCCACGGTGGTCCGGGAAACTGGCGAGAAGCCGTGCGGGACTCAGATGGCCCTCAGACGGAATGCGAGAGAGACTCCGGGGGGCCGGGAGGGCGGGGCCTGTGGACCCCGTCTCTGAGCCGCGGGACATCCCGTCCGCTGCCCTAACTCCTTCCATCAGGAAGGCTATTGTCAACCTGGTGGGGGATGGGTGCGTGGGGAGGGGTGAACCAGCGGTGAGGAGAACGGAGGCGCAGAGGAAAAAGAAGCGGGAGAGAGAGAGAGAGAGAGAGAGAGAGGAGAAGAAGGAAGCGGAGACAGAAGGAGGCTGCAGGGGCAGCAGCTACGGCCCGAACAACAGGCCAGGAGGTATGCGGGAGCGGACCCTCCCAAACAGCTGTCTCCAAGGCTCCCATTGGAGGAAGAATGCCGGACTAGAGGGGACTCAGGCTGGGCTCCCTCACTACAGTAACGACTAATGAAGCCTCTCCTGGTGCTACCCAGCCCCCATCTGCCCAGGCTGCGGAGATTTGAGCGAAGGTTGTGGGCAGAAGAGAGAGGAAACGGAGGAAGGAGGACTGCCCAGCACCACCAGCAACAGAGAGGCCCAGAGGGGGTGGGCCGGCGACGGCGCGGCGAGGGGAGCTGCCTTGCTCTGCGGCTATCACCGTCATCTACCCCCAGAACTCCTATAAGGAGTTCATGCAGGAAGCCAGGCGCCTCATAAAGCCGGCAGACTTGGGGATACCTGGGGCCCTAAGGGTCCGTCAGGTCCTCACGGGAGTCATGCTAATTGAGATGCCTGGCTCCAACTCGGGGACAGCCGCCGATCGGCTAGCGGAGGAACTCCTCCGGCTGGCGGCGGAAAAAGGCTCTGATTAGAGGGTACAGAGACCGGTGAGGACAACCGCTTTGCGACTCACTGGCCTCGACCTGACAATCGGAGCTGAAGAGGTGGTGGCTGCGCTGTCCCAAGCTGGGGGATGCTCGCAAGCAGAGGTTTCCGCTAGCGGGCTGAATGTATCCCAGTGTGGGACAGCGGCGATGGTGGTCCGGTGCCCACAGGCGGCCCGCAGGTGGCCGCTAAGGTCGCTGCCGCGGGGCGGGTCCAAGTGGGATGGACCCGCGCCAAGGTGGTGGTGCTGCCCGCTCGCGTCATGATCTGTTTCAGGTGTCTGGAACAGGGTCACAGGCGCTGGCGGTGCACCAGCGCCGTCGACCGCAGTAATTGTTGCTATCATTGCGGTAACCTCGGACACCGGGCCGACCAATGTAAGGCGGTGACAGCGCATTGCGCCGTGTGCGCCGATGCTGGCAAGCCGGCGGGACATCAAGTCGGTGGGCCGGCCTGTAAACTCCTCTCAGGGAAAAAGAAGAAGAGGAAGGGAGGGATAAGAAGGTCTAGGAGACAAGAAGGAGGAGGGGGGAGCGGGGAGCACTCCTC